GTTAAACCCCGCCTCTACAAAAAATAAAAAATTAAATAGGCATGGTGGACTGCGCCTGTAGTCTCGGTGACTTGGAAGGCTGAGGTGGAAGGATCACCTGAATCGGGGAAGTCAAGGCTTCAGCGAGCCACTGTACTTCAGCCTGGGCAAAAGAGACCCTGTCTCAAAAAAAAAAAAAAACATTAAGAAAGTTATTAACTAACTTGCCTATACATTGATTTCATTATTTTTTTTTTTGATTAACAGGGTAGGCAAAACACAAATTTTACTGTTTTTTAAATTCAGCAAGCTATTCAATTAAAAATAGGCCAGGCGCAGTGGCTCATGCCTGTAATCCCAGCACTTTGGGAGGCTGAGGCAGGCGGATCACGAGGTCAGGAGTTCAAGACCAGCCTGGCCAACATGGTGAAATCCTGTCTCTACCAAAAATACAAAAATCAGCTGGGGATGGTGGCGGCATGCACTTGTAATCCCAGCTAATCAGGAGGCTGAGACAGGAGAATCATTTGAACCTGGGAGGTGGAGGTAGCAGTGAGCCAATCACGCCATTGTACTCCAGCCTGGGCAACAGGGCGAGATTTCGTCTCAAAATAGATATATATGTATATATATTCATCTAGAGGCCATGGAGAGAATCACAGCTATATAGATATGTTACAGCAGATAACAGGTGTATTCTGATAAAATGTAATGTGAATAAGTTGTTCTAATTAGAATCCTATGTTTATTCATTCAACAAAAATTTGGAGTGTCAATCTCTCTGTCTCTCTCTCCCCCACCCTCTCTCTCCCCCCTTCCCCTCCCCCTCCACCACCACATGGTTCCTTAAAGATAAAATTAGAGAAGGGCCTATCCTGCTCTCAAGAGATAAAATAGGTACATAAATACCTACAAGATACGAAGTGTAAATGCCATAAGACATGTGCAGAAAAAGCACTACAGGAGCCCAGAGGGAGCTGTTACCACCTCACAGATATATAACCCCTTCAATCTGTTTAAAACAATTTACTATTAACTCCCTTTAGGCTCACAACAGCCAACTCTAGGAGAACAGATGTTTACCTAATATTAAAGATGAGGAAACTGAAGCACAGAAAGGTTGATCATGTTCCAAAATGTCACATTGTTAAAGGAAGAATCAAGTGTCTTTATATATATTTTCTCCAGGCCGGGGGAGTAGTTCAACATATGGCAAGTCTTGTAAACGGAAAGAGTATTTTGGTATTGTAAGTAATCAGTTCCTAGTGTATTTTATACATAGCTATATCCATATATACAATTAATCTTGATTTCCATTAACAGGTGTGCTCAAAGCAAGGCCAAGCAACTGGGTACTATAAATATTAAAATAAATAAATAAACTTCCACCGGATGTTAACAGAATGAGAAAATAAGATACAAGATTTCTCTCTCCCGTAACTTGTGGTTACTTCTGTAATTGTTACCCAGGTCTAAATAACATTCTAAAATTGGTCTGCTCCTGAGCCCGGGCAAGTACAGGTTGGTTCATCCAATAAATATCTTCATGAAAAGGTACATAAAACATTTCAAAAAGCTATTAAAAATTAAACAATGCCATCAACTCTTCAGTTATCCACAGGACAATCACATGTGACCCAGCATCCGCAGCTATCGATCAAGGTATGTTGAACGAATGAATGAATGTTTGCAGGCATTTTTAAGTCCTGGGCCAGTTGCTCCTTGCACACTGCCATGTTCAGCCTTCCATCATTGCCTCACCGGAGTGCACACAAGGAATGTAAATTTCAATATAATTAGGATATAATTAGAGAAGTAAATCTAATGCAGGTTTACATACTAATCCCAAAGATTAGAATTACCTATACCACTACTCTCCAAGGTTAACTCTGTTGAAGAGGCACCGCGGCATGCAACATCACATAAAGAAAACTGATACTTCCTGAGCAAAATAGTTTTCGTCCATATCACTTATTCCCATCTATTCCTTTAATACATGACTACTCCTGATCCAGTTAATTTGAATAATTCAGTCTCTTCTCCATAAAGGCTGATTTTCAACTATAGTTTCTCACATCCCTCTCTACCCAAAAAGGGGTACACTCACGGACTTCGCACAAGAAACCACCAACAATAAACGGCAGAGGGTATAGGGTTCGGATCTTGGCCATCTCTACCAGTACTTAACCTTCGCCATTACACCCTGAAGCGGTCTGTTAGAAAGGTGAACTAATTTACTCTGCACGCACTTGTCACGGCTGTCACCCTCCCTAGCTCCTGCTATACTCCCAAGTCGGCCACCAACTCCGCCTCAGTGAGCCCAGGCCCGCCACCTGCGCCGGCCCCACCCGGGGCCCCGGCCGCCCGCTCTCCCTCGGGAGCCCTGCAAGGCTCCGCACGCCCCTCCGTACAGGACACCTCGGGGCCGGCGCCGGCCCGGCCACAGCCCATTCTTCCTCCAAACTCCATAAGCCTCCAATAGCCCAGCCAGAGCTCCCCGCCGCGCCCGGCTCTCCCCTGCGCCGCCGAGGGGAATAGGCTGGCGGCCAGGACAGGTCCCGACCTGGCCAGGCCTGCGACACCCCCAGCACGGCGGGGAAGCAGTCCCAGGGGCTTCTGCCCCGGGAGCCCTCGGAAGCCCCCGGACTAGCAGGAGCCCGGAGGCCGGGGTTGCAGGCTCCAGGGCCTACTCACTGGGAGCTGGCGGAGCGTGGGAGCCGACGTGCGCCCCGGCCTGAGAACTGGGACGCAGCCCCAGCGCGCGGCCCTACGCCGGTACCTCGCTCGGCGCTGCGAGCCGGGCGCTCACTCCAGCCGCCGCCGCCGCCGCTGTTGCTGCTTCCCCACCTTGGCCGCCATCTTGACTCAACCCCTCTCCCTCCCCCCAGCCCCGGTAGCAGCGGCTAAGGCGGCTCCGGCGCGGGCTCCTCCTCCTTCCGGAGAGTTAGGAGACCGACTCCCTCCGCTGGCGGGGCGCCTCTCCTACCTCGGCGGAGCTTCCTGGGTCGCGCCGCGCCCGGTCCCCTCGCGTCTCCTCTAGGCCTGGCAGCGGCAGTCCTCTCGGATGGAGACGGGACCGGGCAGCGCCCAGCCGGATTCAGGGCGGCTGCCATCGTGCCCCAGGCCTGTGCGCACCACCCCCCCCGACCCCCGCGAGCCAGTCTGTTCCCGCGTGCCCGAGGCCTTCCCCGGGCGTGGGAAAAGGAAAAACGCCAGGCCGTGCCAGGGACCCTGCAACCCCTCCGCGGCGTGGCGGGACAGCGGTGGCCTCCTTTGGCGGGAGCTGCAGAGACAGAAGCCGGGTCCCCCTCGTGGCTGGGAGCCAGAGGGGTGCATTTCGACCTGCCCAAGATACTTTATAGGGCTCTGGCTGGAATTCGCACCAAGTCCTTGCTGAAATCCCAGACGAGGCCAATTTGTCCCAGATGTTGCTTCTTAACCATAGATAACTAGCAAGAGGAGTCTGTGGCCCTCACGACTGTGAAGTGCATTCTTAACTTCACTCTGCTGGGGAAATGACTGGACGGTTGCTCGTAACCGCACACATACTTACCTTGAGAAAAGCCAGGCCCGACAGGGCACGGTGGCTCACGCCTGTAATCCCAGCACTTTGGGAGGCTGAGGCGGGCCGATCACCCGAGGTCAGGAGTTCGAGACTAGCCTGGCCAATATGGAGAAACTCCTGTGATAACCTGCTTTTTGTTAGCTTAAACTGACTCTCTCTTTCTTAGCTGAGAGCTGTTCAGGCTTCTTGAGCCGGACAGACTCTCTTAGCTTCCTCATTTTAGTTATTCCCCCCTTTAAGTATGTAACTGTCGTATGTAGCTGGGGCAGGATAACACTGGGCACATCCTGGAGTGCATTTGCTAATAAGAGGCCGAGTTGCCGGGCGCGGTGGCTCACGCCTATAATCCCAGCACTTTGGGAGGCCGAGGCGGGTGGATCACGAGGTCAAGAGATCGAGACCATCCTGGTCAACAAGGTGAAACCCCGTCTCTATTACAAATACAAAAATTAGCTGGACATGATTGTGCGTGCCTGTAGTCCCAGCTACTCGGGAGGCTGAGGCAGGAGAATTGCTTGAACCCAGGAGGCGGAGGTTGCGGTGAGCCGAGATCGTGCCATTGCACTCCAGTCTGGGCAACAACAGCGAAACTCCGTCTCAAAAAAAAAAAAAAAAAAAAGAGGCCGAGTTAAGCGGTAGCAGCAGAGCCTGGGAAAGCGGGTGCTTTCGAGTACCCAGAGCCCCCATATGTGTAAATTGTATGTCTTTTTATGACAGCTTTAGCCCTTGCACCTGGTACTGTTTTATTTCTCACGTACTAGTTTATCTTTTAACTTTTTACATACTCTGCTTCTGTGAAAAAATTGCTTCAGCTAGTTTCCCCCCTCCCTTTTCAAACTAGGGTAGAAAAAAAATCCCCTAACTCTTTTGGGCGTTAGCCACCTCTCGGTTGCCGGCTAAAATAAAGGACTCATAATTCAATCTCAGTGTGGCGCATTCCTTAACTCGCTCGGGTATAATACTCCGTCTCTACTAAAAATACAAAAATTAACCGGGCATGGAGCCTGTAATCTTAGGTACTGGGGTGGGGGGTGCTGGAGTGGGAGAATTGCTTGAACACACGGGAGGCGGAGGTTGCAACAAGCCTAGGATACGCCACTGCACTCCAGCCTGGGTGATAGAGCCAGACCCAGTCTCAAAGAAAGAAAGGGCCAGGCGCAATGGCTTACGCCCGTAATCCTAGCACTTTGAGAGGCCGAGGTGGGGCAGATCAGGAGGTCAGGAGTTCGAGACCAGCCTGGCCAATATGGTGAAACCCCATCTCTACTAAAAATATAAAAATTAGCTGGGCATAATAGCGCACGGCTGTAGACCCAGCCACTCGGGAGGCTGAGGCAGAAATTGCTTGAACCCGGGAGACAGAGGTTGCAGTGAGCAAAGATCGCGCCACTGCACTCCAGCCTGAGCTACAGAGCAAGACCTGTCTCAAATAAAAAGAAAAAAAAAAAAGGCCATCCAAAAGTGAGAACGAAAAACAAAGCTGGTTTATCTGGCCGTTTTGGAAAACTGTCATCTGGATAACGGGCTGTCTAACCCTGTAATTACGAGAAAAACTCAAGTTTTAAGAAATGAGTTGAAGAAGAGGAACTCTTCCTACAAGAGATGGGAGTTTATATATAAGACGCTTCCCTTTAAACCGATTGTATAGTGTGGTAGGACTAGGATAGGAAACTGGACGGCACGGAGACTTCTCTTAAAACACAAGAGAATCCCTAGCGTAAAGCCTCAAGCCTCCGGAGCATGTCGGCGGAACGGACTTAACCACGGAACCCCACATTCCCGGGTGCAGTTTTCCAGCCGGAGTCAGGGTCAGAGGCAGCCTTGCCTACTGCGCAGGCGCGATGCTACTTACCCATCAGGGAAGCAATGTGGCTACTCTGCGTGTTAGCGGCGGTCCTGGCATGGGGCTTCATCTGGGTTTGGGACTCCTCAGAACGAATGAAGAGTTGGGAGCAGGGCAGACTGCTGGGAGCTGAAAGCCGGACTCTCCTGGTCATAGCGCACCCTGACGATGAAGCCATGTTTTTTGCTCCCACAGTGCTAGGTTTGGCCCGCCTAAGGCACCGGGTGTACCTGCTCTGCTTCTCTGCAGGTAGGAGGCCACAGGAGGGGCGATGGGAGCCGGGACTGTGACAGGGATTTAGGTGCTAATCGATCTCAGTCGCCTTCTTAACAAAGAGTGTCCTCTAGGGAGCTAAGGGAATACACGGAAAGTCTTACCTCTGAACCTCTCACAGGCTGGGGACTCGAGCGGCCGGCTTATCAGGTGGGTTGGGTAACACCGGCAGCTCGCGTACTACTCAGGCAAGATTGAGGAGCAGAGAAACAGTTGCAGTTTGTTACATTCAGTACCTGCGTTTCCTTTGGGAACCGCACTGTGCTTGTTATTCTGTGGAACTTCTTTTTATTTGTAGAAGGAGCAAGAATATTGACCTTATTACCGTGAATGAAACAATCTATGCTGTATCATGCCTGCTCAATCCTTAATTTCTGATGATAGCAAAAGACCTTCCTGCTGCTTTTAAAATGCAACTTGTGCTAGTAAGATGCATGTGTCAAACTGAAGAAGTAGACTTAGATGATTAGGTAGAAAATAATTTCGTAGGTAATTTTAGAGTTCAACTCCACCCAGCTTTCAGTGAGGAAACCTTTCAAATAAGATTTTTGCTTACCATAGAAAAAAGATCAAATGACAGAGCAAATATTGACCATCATGCTGGAATATGGTGATAATTGAGCAGTTGTATAAATGAAGTAATTGAATTGTACACATACAATGGGTGAATTTTATGGTATGTAAAATTATACCTCAATAAAACTGTTTTTTAAAATTGCCCATGACCTCTTTTCCCATTTGCTTGTGTGTCTTTCCAATTCTTTTTCTATACAGCTTTTTCACAAAAATCACATTTTATAAAATTTTATATTATTTTTTCTTAACATTACTTTTTCATTTACTTAGCAAATACTTAATAAACATTTGTGTGCTAAGCCTTATTCTATGCCCTAGGGATACAAAAGTGAACACAAGCTAGATCAGAGCAGTGTCCTCATGAAGCGTAAAACATCTACCCATAATAATTAGATCTAAATGTATAGCCTGTTAAATGGCTTCATCAGGATAAACCTTAGTCATCCTTTATTGTTTGTATATTTGGAGGGTTTTTTCCTAGTTTATTGAAAAGAGCAGAGGACATCTTTGTATATATTATTTCATTAGTATTAATCTCTAAAATTGGCTGTTTTAAGGCTTTGCATTCAAAACACATTCCTGAAAACCATATACCAAGTCTTTTTTTTTTCTGAGACGGAGTCTCGCTCTGTGGCCCAGGCTGGAGTGCAGTGGCGTGATCTTAGCTCACTGCAGCCTCGGCCTCCCTGGTTCAAGCAATTTTCCTACCTCAGCCTCCTAAGTGCTGGGATTACAGGAATGCACCACCATGCCCAGATAATTTTTGTATTTTTAGAAGAGACAGGGTTTCACCATGTTGGTGAGGCTGCTCTGGAAATCCTGACTTCATGATCTGCCCACTTCGGAGAGAGGGTTTCACCATGTTTGGCCAGGCTGGTCTCAAACTCTTGACCTCTAGTAATCCACCCGCTTCGGCCTCCCAAAGTGCTGGGATTACAAGTGTGAGGCCACCACACCTGGCCTACCCATTTACATTCTTACTGGCACTAATGAGAGTATCCGTCTTAATATATTATTTTCTGTAGCATTGACTGATATTTTAATAAATTTATTGATTTGTTTACTATCTTCTCTCTCCCCCAATTTTTTTTTTTAAAAGGGACAGGGTTTCACCTTGTTGGCCAGGCTGGTCTCGAACTCCTGACCTAAAGCAGTCCACCTGCCTTGGCTTCCCAAAGTGCTGGGATTACAGCCATGAGCCACCGCGTCCGGCCCCCCAGAATTTTTTATTACCAGTAAGAGTAAACCATTTTACATATTTATTGAGAATTTGAGTCCAAGCACTTTTCTTCTAAATTTATGCTCTGTTAAGGATATTAATTGCAAATAGTTGCAAGTAATAGCACCATTTTTTCTTAGCTTCTAGGTTTGTTGGAGTTTTTTGTTGTTGTTCCGATTCACTGCAACTTCCACTTCCCAAGTTCAATCAATTCTCCTACCTCAGCCTCCCAAGTAGCTGGGACTGGGTGCTGGCGCCTGTGCACCAGGTGCTGGTCTAATTTTGTATTTTTAGTAGAGCTGAGGTTTTGCCATTTTGGCCAGGCTGGTCTCAAACTCCCGACAAGTGACTGCCCACTTTGGCCTGCCAAAGTGCTGGGATTACAGGTGTAAGCCACCACGCCTGGCTAGCTTTTAGTTGTATTTGTATTAACATTACAACTATAGAAGCCAAATTATAAGCAAGTTTGTTACAAGATCTTCAGTGGACTTTTTGGCCGGGCACGGTGGCTCACGCCTGTAATCCCAGCACTTTGGGAGGCCGAGGCAGGCGGATCATGAGGTCAAGAGATCGAGACCATCCTGGCCAACATAGTGAAACCCCGTCTCTACTACAAATACAAAAAAAATTAGCTGGGCGCGGTGGCGCGGACTTGTAGTCCCAGCTATTCGGGAGGCTGAGGCAGGAGAATTGCTTGAACCCGGGAGGCGGAGGTTGTGGTGAGCCGAGATTGCGCCATTGCACTCCAGCCTGGTGCCTGGTGACTGAGTGAGACTCTGTCTCAAAAAAAAAAAAAAGAAAAAGATCTTCAACAAGAACCCCCTAGATTTGCAAAATGCTATACATACTATACGTACAGCTCTTTAATAAACTTATCCTTATTTTTAATAAGTTCATAAAAATTTAGGACCAGAATTGAAAATTTTTTCAAATAAACAATATAGACTGGGCAAGCGAGGTGGTTCTCACCTGTAATGCCAACACTTTGGGAGACCGAGGCGGGTGGATCATGAAGTTAAGAAATTGAGACCATCCTGGCCAACATGGTGAAACCCCGTCTCTACTAAAAAATAGAAAAATTACCTGGGCGTGGGATTGTGTGCCTGTAGTCGCAGCTACTCAGGAAGCGGAGGCAGGAGAATCTCTTGAACCGAGAGGTGAAGGATACAGTGAGCAGAGATCGTGCCACTGCACTCCAGCCTTTGTGACAAAGCAAGACTGCATCTCAAAAATATATATATGTGTACATATATATACATAAATGTAGAAAGAGAGAGCGAGCACACGCACATGGACTTGGCACTGAACATTTTTATTGTCTTATTATTTCCTCTGAATCCAACTTACCATTTTGTTTTTTCTTTTATGTTATTTATTCTTTATTCAGGTTTTGTTTTTGTTTTTTTTTTTTGATGCAGAGCCTCACCTGTCACCCAGGCTAGAGTGCAGTGGCTCAATCTTGGCTCAGCCTCATGGGTTCAAGGAGTTCTGCCTCAGCCCCCTGAGTAGCTGGGATCACAGGTGCCCACCATCACATCAGGCAAATTTTTGTGTTTTTAGTAGAGACAGGGTTTTACCATGTTGGCCAAACTGGTCTTGAACTTCTGACCCTCAGGTGATCCACCTGCCTAGGCTTCCCAAAGTGCTGGGACTGCATGTGTGAGCCACCACGCATAGCCTGTTTGTTTATTTTATAAAGATGGGATCTTGCTCTATCCTCTTGACTGCACTGCCAGCTCTCATATCAGGTGACAGAGCAAGACCCTGTCTTTATAAAATAAACAAAACATTAATAAATAACATACAAGAAAAAACAAAATGGTAAGTTGGATTAAGAGGAAATAATGAAAGACAATAAAAATATTGAATGCCGACTGCGTGCTCCATATTTTTTATTTGAAAAAAATTTCAATTATTGTCCCAAATTTTTATGAACAAAATGAAAATAAGGATAAATATGAAATATAAATAAAACTGGCCGGGCGTTGTGGCTCACGCCTGTAATCCAAGCACTTTGGAGGCCAAGGCGGACGGATCACCTGAGGTCGGGAGTTGAAGACCAGTCTGACCAACATGGTGAAACCCCATCTTAAAAAAAGAAATATAAATAAAACTAAAATCTGGCCAGATCATAGTTCCCTGCAGTCTCCAAGTCTTGGGCTCAAGTGATCCTCCCACCTCAGCCTACCAACAGCTGAGACTACAGGTGTGTGCCAGCACACCCAACCTTTTTTTTTTTTTTTTTTTTTTGAGGCAGAATCTCACTCTATCGCCCAGGCTGGAGTACAGAGGTGAAATTTTGGCTCACTACAACCTCTGCCTCCCGAGTTCAAGCGATTCCCCTGCCTCAGCCTCCCAGTTAGCTGGGACTACAGGCATGCGCCATCATGCCTGGCTAATTTTTGTATTTTTGGTGAGACGGGGTTTCACCATGTTGGCCAGGCTGGCCTTGAACTCCTGACCTAAGGTGATCCACCCAGCTTGGCCTCCCAGCATGCTGGGATTACAGCATGAGCCACCATGCCCAGCCTAAAATTACTTTTTAAATTCACAATTCATTCAAACATGTGTTGATTAAACCTTCTGTATACTGCTGACTTAACATTCTAATATGAAAAACAGGAAGCCAATAATTTGTAATATAATGAAAGCTATGATGTTTTGATGGAGAAAGTACTATGGACCCAAAATGGAGAAAAGCATTAATTCTTTTTTCAGGGGTTTACATTAAGGAAATCTTCTCCAAATTGGTTTTCTTTGGAGCTGGGCTTTAAAAATAGGAGTAGCTATATATAGGAAGCAAGCAGTAGTAAAGGCATCAGTAAATCTTGGATTCGCATGAATAATTCATTCTAACAAGATCTCCGGTTAAAAGGAAGAGAAGCAGCAGGGAAAAAATAATAATTTTTTTGTTATTGGTGACTCATTTCATCATGTCAGCAACTCTGTAAGTACCTACTATTGTTATTTCCATTATACAAATATGGGAACTGAATCACAAAGTTTAAGTAACAACCAAAGTGACCAGCTACAGTGTAAAGGAGCCAGGACCCTGTGGTTCTTACCTTTTCTAAAACCATTACACCCAATCTGCCTCTTACATTGCCTTGTATGCCTTGTCAGTTGATTAAATAAACTGATTCCCAGTGTATGTTCCAAAGAACATTAGTTCATCCAGCTG